TGAAAAATAATGTTCGAAACAGAATTATTCTGACAAAAATACTTCTCCACTTTTACTCAATCCAACAATTGCTTTGTTTGTTACTGTCACGAAGCAAACATTTTTTTTATATTTTACTTTTTTATTACTTATAACATTAAATCATCACAGACTCTTTACTTTCGTTTAGAAAAAATAAAATTCATTACACTAACTGGGAACATGACACTAACTATGAACTATATAGTTATGAAAAAACTGATTTTTTGGAGAATTATCGATGAACGTTGGAATCAGTTGAAACATTCAGATCTTTTGCATTGCGTTTTAGTATCAAGTTTTCTACTGTTGTTCAGAAACTGTATTTGTGACAGAAGTTTTGAATAAAAGAAAAATTTGAGCGGAATACTAGAAAGGTCGTGGTACATCTGAATACTTTGGCATAATTAATTGAATGTCTAACTCTTCCGTCTCATATCAACCCCACTTCTATTTAGGGGATATATGGCAGATAATTGTTAGAAATATAACAATGAACCCACCTATCGTCTCGCTGAATGCTTACTTTCATCCCCCAAAAGTCTTCCATATGGATTACAAGAGATTTTCCTGTACCTAGTCGGTCGTCTATATGAGTCTAAGAGCCATCTAAATCTTGTTTAAATTGACAGGGGTATATTTTTAGGAAATATTGATTTTTCAGAAAAGAAGGTTTTGGTTTTGTACTTCTTTATCTTCATACAAAAAACCTATGAAAATCTTCCAAAGAAAGGAAGAAAGTAATCAATTTTAAAAGAAGTAACTTTATACATAGATGTGTAGATCATGCAAAGAAGTAACTTTCAGACACAAACAACACAATTCAACCTCTGATATTTATAAGATTTGTTAACAGATGAATCGGTGTTACCAACAATGACCCTAACTGGTTTCTAATTCTGATCTATGTTCCAATTACGATAGGATATTATGTGAAGAAATAATATTGTTTGGAATGAAAAAATCTGGGTTTGGGGCAAAATTATAGTTCTCTTATTGAACTACATCATTTGTAAACACTAAATGGAATTGAGAAACGAATTCAAGTGAATTTTTGCGAATGATAATAATAAATCAAGGCAGCCCAGCTTGACCGAACTGTTTCATCCAATAGCTATATCAGAAAAACTTTAAACATGATCGAGAAATATGCTGATATCTGACATCAAGTAGAGTAAGTGAGTAAAGTTCAAGGACAACGGATAAATGAAATAATTTGAGAATTCTGACTGTATCAATTCAACAGATATTTATAACATGTATCAATAGTTGAATAGGTATGGCTCACAATTAGTAACAGTAACCACCACACTTTCTATCCAATAGTATTGCAGAGTATTTTTTAAGGAATAGTATTATCTGTTAACCGAATTTTGTGATGGGATTGGCCGGTACTTGAGAGAAATCCCTAACGTTTTCAAGAAACACTTTATCGTGAGATTTTCACTCAACAGTTTTACAAAAAACACAACACGTGTTTACAAACAGCTTCGTCAAGCGAATTTCCAGTAAAAATCTGACAAAGAAGTGTTCCTTGGATGAATAGAGCTAATACAAATCATACTGAATGACTGGAGTAGACTAAAAAGTGAGGCATCACCATTAACTTCTCCAAAAAATGAATTCTTGCAAACCTCGAGTCAAAATGTTGGATTACGTAAAAAGTTCAAAAAGAGTACAATTAGATGGAGGCATGATTGTGTGAACAATACTGAGATTTACAATATGAATACTTAAAATCTATCTATATGGCATTGGCATGTTATATTTTATACTGATTAAAACAAATAAACAAACAATAACACACTTACTATAATAAAATATAAGAAAAAAAATAAAATATGAGAACCTAGTCAATCTTAATAAACACAACGAACGGCTACACTGACTAGGCATAACTACAAACAAAAAAAAAACATTTTGACGAATAGTATTCGGAGATCAGTGAATACAGGATTTGGTGTAAATGTACTACCAAACACAATTGGTTGTCATTTACATTCCTGGTGGCCTTAGCGGCAAAAAATCACAGTGACGCTTTGAAGAGCATTTCAAAAACTCAGTTTTTCACTATACTACTACTTAAATCTAATAAATACTAATCCAACTAAATTGCTTTAATTTCTTTTAAAATATCAGTATTTATATATATATACTCCTATATAATACGTAAAAAAGTACAGAAAGCTATATTAACCAACTGAGTGAACAAGTCGCTCTGAATATCCACAAGTCATAGACAAAATTCGAAAGAGATCTGCTACCCACACCAAAAAGAAGAAAAAGTAACATTTATAATTCATTAGTTATCTGAAGACACAGTAATCAGCCTTGATTGGAATTCCAACCCGTCACAAGCCGAGTGGTGGATTGGAAATTAGGGAGATTCAAAATTTTACAAAACAAACAACTAACAATTTACATGGCTGGAAATTTCAGGTGAATTAAATGTCTCGTTTTCGTCTCAATGGCATGAGTGACCGCAATACGCATTCGGCTTTGGCCAGTAGACTGTCCCGACTTGTCCCCCCATGTATGTACAATCTCAGGTGCGGGCTGATCGGAACTTTGCGGCACACGTCCAGCTTTCGCCGCACCGCTAATCTACGGAGATCATTTGAAAAGCATTGAGGCTGCAAAGATAAACTTTGCCGCTCTTCCAATTAAACAAACTAAACAGAGTCAGACTCTAGCGAAAGCAAACAAAGAAACGCCGCGCCCACCTGCTCATTGGCTGTGCTTATGGCCTTTTGGCACGATTCAATCTTTGGTTGTACCGAATCCAACTGTAATTTTATTTACAATTCATTTACAATAACATATTGTCGAATTAAAATCGAATATCATCTAATCATACGAATTCCTGAGAGGGACCAAACCGGGTGTCACGAATTTGGTCCTACTGGATGAGATCAATGCTTTGATTGGTTTTCCTCTCTTTGGAACACACATGTGCACAAATGACCAACGTTCACCTTTTCAAGGTAAATTTATTTCTAAATCTAATACACTCAGATTGTGAATATAATATATAAACTACTATATATTCAATAAAAACACACCGAAAGTATATAATATGAAAAAACAGTAATAAAGCAAACATAATATAGGAATATAGGGAGCATACCTCTACATTTCATAAAACTATCGATTATCGATCACTTTTGCTTTGGATAAAGTACGGGTGGGACACGGTAACGCAGTTATCGGGTCCCAAAGAGATGCCAGCCGACGAAACAGATCATGGCGGTCCACAAAGGCGCTGAGACAGGACCTGGTACAAATTTGGAGAATATACTCTCACTGCTGAGGGTCTTAGCGGAGGATATTTCTGGCTCGTTCACCTAGAAAAGAAAAACAAAGTGACAGTGACAGTAATTTCAATCAAATGTTGGAGTTTGAAAAAAATCCATCCATACTATCATGCTTTAGTACTTAGTACTCAGTTCGAGAGTAAGAAGCTGTTCGATTTGAGAACTTCTCGTTTTGACCCGGCAAATAACCCATGTTGGAAATAGTTTGGCAGTGGCTCAAGAGTGAACTGCTTTCTCATTCGACTCCAGATCTCTGATAATAGAAGCCATATTGGAAAAATAAATTAACTTTCGCGATCTAGGATATATAAGTAGGCTCGTTTGTTATCCATTGTTGGTGATTACTCAGTATTTTGCTCAAAATTATCAATGTAGATGTAGGTTGTCTCTATCAGGACAGATTGCTGGAGTTTTGGCATTCGATGCAATAAGCATGGTTATATTGTGATATCAAGGAGCACTGGTACAACTGAAATATCTACTCAGAGGTAATATTCAATGACAAAGTCCTAGGCTTTCATTCAATATCATTACTGGTGTTTCCCATAACGTGGAATAGAAAAAGTTAGCAACGTGCCATCTAATTTCCGCAGATATGAAGTACTTCATGCAAATCCAGCTCTGTTGGAAAAAAGCCATTGTTTGACGTGTGGCACGGTAATAGAAAAATGAGTATTACTTCACTTCAACCTCCCTCATTTGTAGTAAGATTTACAATGTGGATCCATTGCTATCATTGATCATTCCTATCATTGATCATTCCTATCATTGATTGACTTCAAGTTTTATTAGACGTTTTTATCTCGTCTCCAAGACAATCATTTGCATAGCCAAGCTTCACCTTTGGACTCCACTGTACTTATGAGTGCAAGACCAAGTAAGTAGATTCAAAAACACCATTCAGAATTAACATGAACAAGGCGATTGTTTGGATCCATTGCTAGTCCACAAGAAACCCAATGTCAGTTTGGAAACCAGAGTTCAGGATGCTATCACAATTAGATGTTATTCTCTAAAACCATTGTGATTTTCTCAGCATGAACCAGTTATAGTTAAGTTCCTTAACCCCTTGTATAACGAATGCCAGCTTACTTATTCGTTATCCGATTTTGTTCAATATAATTCGATCGTATTCCTCTAAACATCTTATTAGGATATGAGTTCTAGTTATCTGATAACCCTATTTGTCTGTCAAAGGAAACACAGGATCGATTTGAAATCTCAGAAAGAACGTATCAAAAAATTGAGGAGCAGACATGAACAAAATGCATTATCAGTCATGCAGAAAGTCAGTCAAAAAATTGGCGACAAAAATCGAAAAAAAAATGTTCTTCAACCCAATAAGAGCCTCTTAGAGGTCATAATCACGGGAAACCGCTATGCTGAAATTAGTCAACCACAAAAGTCAAGTACTTTCCCTTGAATATAGTAGGTATACACCTACTTGGCCAATTCACTGACTCACCCAGTAGAAAGACCACGACAAACACTGCTGAATAATTAACATCATAGGTAAAAATCAAAACGAATCAAGAAAGAATGCAAAAAGTAATATTAGATAATATCACAGCTCAAACAAAGAAAAGCCATGAACGTATAATACGAACAATGGAACAAATATAATTGTAATATAATTATCATCGAAACGGTATATTACAAGGTCAAAATTGCATGGGGTATACTGTAAACAAGTAGAAGTGACATTAATAGGTTGAACTCCCAACTGCTGTCCTTACAGCAAAGTAATGCGCAATAAAATCATAAGAACCAAAGATAGATAATTTTGCAATCATACTACGCGATTCTGCAGTAAAACTGAATATTTCATAAGGACAATGAGGCGAGAGCATGCATGTAGCGGACAATATGCAACGCACATCGTCGTTCAACTGGTTGCATACCTCTCGTGGCCTGAGCCGGCCAAGCTAACGAACTTGAGTTGACTGGGAATACTAGCCACGACGTTGCCATACATTTGACGTTAACAGCAAAACTGATAATCTTGTTCATTTACTGTTAGGAAACATGCACATGGCAGAGATACCAACCAATCTTCTATCTTGAACATTTGAATAACAAGGTATCGGACTGTCTCATAGTGGAAAGTACATGCGTCGGTTTGTTTCTAATCCGCTGTTATTTTAAGGCCAGGAATGTTTGGCAATACTGTGACAGTGTGACGTCACTGCTCAAATACAAAGGCGATGAGCGAGGAAGCGTCATGAATTTGGATCCGTAGTAAAGTGTAGGAGCAGAGATGCAACAGATTGCAGCTATAATAATAAATTTAACGATTTCTGGGAAGTGACAGATAAATTCATATGGCGACTTATAAATGGAGAATCCTCGAAAATTCTCAGCTGATGAAGGCACATGTCTTACGTTCATCTTATATAATGTGAATTTGTTGTCATAATTCAGTACACGATTTGAATAAAATGGAAAAGGAACTGACTTGATATCAGCTGATAACTTGACGACGATATGATTTGATTCAGAAAATGAAACTAGTGATGAATTTTAAATCAAACAAAGGAAATTAGTGGTGGAAAAATTTTGTTCAACGTAAAATAACACTGTAAAATTATAACTAGGTATATACTCTCCTGGGCAAGATGAATGATCATATCCTGTGATAATTTAACTTCCTTTTTTCGAACGGTATATTAACAAATATATTTCAAAACTATGTTCACATTCTTCTTTAATGATATCACCATATTCATGCTCCTAAACGTGTATGTATACTATTAGAAGTAGTGTGGAAACAATTGCATGCAGTTGGTGCTACTATATCGTCTACCACCACCCATATTAATGAATATTTGTTAATGACATCAACGCAAGAAAGTAAAATATATGATCGTCGTTCTATGAAAAATGATCAAACAGTGCAAGAAGATATGAAAATCCACCATAATGTTGATATGACGATAGACTGATTGATTGAAGGTTCTAAATATACATGAATCAACATGTTCAGGAGTTTTTCATGTTGTGATATGCTCAAGTATAGGTGAAAACGCCTCACCCTTGCCTGTCATGTGAACCTACGACTTTGTGGGCACGTGTGGCAGATATCCGACGGAAAAACAACTAACCTAGCTAATGCCGCGCAAAAAGCTGAAGTAAAACCATCAGGCAGCGTCTTCCATTCGGAAGATTCGTCGCTAATACTGCGGTTTCGGAGTACTAGCTCCTGGTCAGTACCTACCGCAAGGGTCATTTCAGACGGAGTGAACCGTCATAAGCTCTGCCTGCAGTTGATTCAGTAGGATCTACCACTGCGCCACCTGCAGACCAAGTCCGTCCCTTACGGTACTGACGAGGAAAAAGTAGGTACTCCGAAACCAGTCTATATTGGTTGTACCTTGTAAAAGAGAAATGATGAAAAAAGAAACTAGATTGGGCAATGGATTTGAAAGTGGTGTGAAAATATAAAAAGTGTGGCAAGAAGGCAAGTGTTAGAAAGTTTATATGTAGTAACAGAGTAACCAGAAGAAAATAAAATCCAAGAACATGTACACATTAGAGTAAGCATCTATGAACAACCAAGAGAAGAAGAAGGCATAAATAAGATGAAATGACAAAACTGACATATTTCAAGTGACGCATCTGTGTATCTGAAGGTTGAATGATATTTAGAAGGAATTCAAAATACAGATACGACCACATGAACTACTGTTAGTCAATAGGGTTAACAATGTCAAATAGGCTTCCGCTACTTGAGTGTATGTGTGAACTTTTGATTAACAGAGCATGCATTTCAGGGGTGAGACGGCCTACAGAAAGAAGACACGACACCCACCAACCTCTTGTGTTAGTAAAATCTGATGAAACTCGTCAATTAGCTTGCGCAGAATTTCACGAACCTGGTTCCAATCTTGTACACCATTACGATTGGCGGTTGTTATGGACACCTTTGATTCCTCGCAACAAGATGATTCTGAGTTTGTTCTTCTCCGGGTTGATCTGAAAGTGGCACTGGCAGCAACCTGGGGAGCTCCCTCCGGCTGATTGGATTGAACGATTTCTTGACTGGCGGCAGCGAGCAATGCCAGATTATTGAGAAGATCTGGGATCTGTGTGGAAGGGGCAGATGCAGATGTAGACGTTCCCTGATCTTGGGTTGGAGATCGACTCGAACCTGCACTGGTTCGGTCTGTAAAAAATCATAACTTGAGCAATGATTCACAACGTGGGCCACCTTCTAACTTTTGAAAGTGGGGCTAACTCATGCATCATGTAATGGGTGGCAATATCTTTGTTATAACCGAATATTCACCATAATTTGAAATCTTTTGCTGGGTGGTTCGGTCCCATTGTTCACTTGTTTAATGTACGTGTTTTCAAATTAGCAAAATACCCAGCTCAAGGAGTGTATTAACTCTCGAAACAGAACACACAATAGATAAAGTCATACCTTGTATGTGACCATCAGCTACATTCTAGATCAACCTCGTTACTTTTTTAATGAAATTCTAAAGCTATCAAAAAATTGCAAGAACTTTTTAAATAAATTCATTGGATATTGTGAAACCAAAAAATTATTGATAGCCATAAGTACCAATGCAGTGAAAATATAAGAAAAGTGACAAAAAACTGTTGATACTAATTTGTGAAATTCAACGTGACAAATATTATATGAATTTATTCAGTCTACTCGATATGTTTCAACAAATGCTAGATTCGAATGAAAATAATCAATATCTATTATATTCCAAGATATTCATTTCAATTCGATACGATAGTGATAAGCCATAGCAGACAAAAACAGGCAAACTCATAATGTTATTATTTAAATTTCAGTGAATCCACTAGACATAATAGGTATATCTAAACAATAAAATGAGTAGTGCGGTTTTCAGGTTCTAATTTTTTCCGGATTCTGCGAATTAACGTTTTATAAAGATAACAAAATACCACAATATGCAGAGATTAGGAAATCGCTTGTAGATAGTAAATACTTCTGTTTGGTTGAAGTTATTATGAATTACGCTTGAATTTTGTTTTCACTGACAATTATAAGATAATATTCAGACACGTGTTTGCGACGGTATCTGTCCAAATAGCCAAATTATCTTCATCAACAAAAAATAAACCACCTAATCATTATCAGCTCTTGATCAGTGTTAATCATACACACGTTTTAATATTTTCCAAGGAGAACATTACAATTTATAATCGAACCATAGGAAAATATGGATATTGCCGAACGTATGTATTGTGTGAATGATGTTACTTGTTATCACAAGTATATGTAATCAATGTCAACATTATCCTGATTTATTTGTTCCAGCCACAGAATTATTATTTGTATTGACGAAACCTAAGTTCGAATATTTTTACAGGCATCACAATCATCTGTTCGTGCCAATCAAACAGGGTTTGTCTTCGCTGTCATCGTAGCGGTTAGAACTTAGTTGTGGAAAGTTGATCACGAGAAAAAATATTGTAAAATGGATGTGTTGTTGGGTAGTAGATGTTGGTCCAAGCGACGGAAAAAATCGGTTGGAGTTGGTATTCATCTGTCGGATCTACACTATTATACCGTCTCAAGCATTTGTGTTAATATCTACGATAATTGTTCTTTTAGCTTTGCCACTGGTTGGATTTCTGGGTCCATCGATATCTGCCAACATGTGTTATCGGGATGGATATAAAATATAATTCTTATATATCGCACAATAATTTTGAAGAATATCTTCCGTCGGGCCTGCCTGTTTACTGACTGGCAATATTTTTAGAGAAGGGGTGAATCATTGAGATTATTTTATAAGAATGCCAATTCTGAATTGAGATCTATTTAAAAAATCATTCGCCTCGTATAACTCCCCACACTTGACTGTAGTCATTTTCCAATGGCGTCATTGTAACACGCAATATTTCATCTTTGATATTCCATCTAGCACTGAGATAAAACTTCTGAGGATTGGATTCTTAGCTACTGCCTTTATCATTTATGCATTCATGATTAGCCGTAGGCTCTTGACATGTACGCTATATAGTAAACACAGCTGTTTGGATTGCTACTACGTATCGAATGCATATGCACGTTGCAATTTACAAGGCCACCAGTAGAAGGGTCGTTTCACAATATGTATTTACCTCCAGATTCAATAACTCCAGAGAATAAGACATTTTGACCCTGATATTTCAATTTTTTTATACGCATCACTTTGTTTCATGGACTAGAACTATGAATTTCTGGTAAATATATGGGTGTTATGTAATGTTTCACATGGAGTCACTGTTATTTGAAGTAATTCTCTTTTTTTTTTTGTATAACCTCAATTTAAATCAACCTACCATTGGGGTTGATTTAGGTCCTCATGTAAATCACTGTTTCTCTTAAGGGACCTTTAAACCTCACAAGAACAAGATGTCAAAGAACCAGCAATCGATGAAAAAGGAGATTTTCGTAAATAAAAAACTAAAATATTTTGAATTCTGAAGAAGGATTATTTTGTTCTTCAGGCTATATTTCTGAAGATTGGGCCCATATCAGATAGATAGACTAACCTATTTTCATTACCATATCAAGAAAGAACTGACTGTACTTATTGTTCATTGGTGTTTTATATTGAAAGTGTTGTGTTCTCTTGGCTGAAAACAAAATTTGTTATTCTGTTTTGTGCATTTTATTTGGGATGGGTAACAATTGCAATTGATAAAGATATATTATTTTCTAGCAGTTTCGATTTATTTGAAAACTTGGTGATATTCTTCATGGTTTTTCATCGGGAGTGTCGTTCAACTTTGATTGTTTTTTTTATCTAGTCATATCAAAATGTCACTGTTTGAGATGAAAAAATTCTCGACTCGCTGGAATTGGCTTTTTCATCAGAACAGTGATACATCTAGAGTTATGTTGCAAAATTGGTAAAATGGACCTAGTAGCCCCGCCTTAATGAAATATCAAATGTAACTAGGTGTGTAATTATTACATCAACAGTGTAACCACATACTACAACTAAACGCGAGACATGTTTATCTTACGAAACGTACGGCTGTTTATGTACGCGGTTAATGGTGTGTAAATAAATAAGTGGGTAAAATTCAAACAAATCTGTTTGGGTAATCTATCGATGATAAGAGTATTTTCACGTCTATCGACTTGTGATATTTCTTCCTCGATTTCTTTGTCCATGAAATTTTATTTCTACGTAGTTTGTAAATTTCACCAATACACTCTTGAAATGGAATATGTCAGAATGAAAACACACAAACGAAATAATTAATACACGTGCAAAAAAGCTACGCTGAATTGACTTGATAATAATGAAACTGTATCTTGATATTTTTCATTCATTTGCAATAAAAAAGTTAGAGAAATTTATATATTTTTTTAAATATATTACAATCAACTTTGAGGATAAAAGCAAAATGCCCACGAGTTTATTCACACAAATGAATTCAACAAAAATTCTGTTGATATGTTCAAAATTATTATATACTTTCGTGGGGGAAGTTCAAACACTTGATAAAACTAATGACAAGATTTATACTGTCGAAAATACATTTCAATTTTCATCACATCTCTATAATTATAATACATTTTCATATACAAAAATCGTGATGTAATCTATTATCCTAGACTTCAACAAAGTCATCTAACATTTCAACAAGTTTGTCATTTTTTAGAAGTGTGTATAAGAAAATACAGTACAACAATATTTCAAAATACAATTTTGAGCAACAATTGATTTGGAAATATATTTTCCAATACACGAGATGTGAAAATTTATCATCGGGATCATTACTATTTCACCACGTTTCACAAATTTCAATATTGAAATTTCCCATATTTCAAACAGATATTATACCTGAACGGACAAACGTGATTTCTGAGTCAGACACATCAGATATTGCGACACAAAAACATACCTGTTTTCTCCCATTTCAAAAAATACTTGATGCAAGTCAAAGTAAAGGCAACAAACCATTTTATTCTTGTGTCGACTTGTTGAGACAAGTAGCCGCGGAAAATATTTCTAACTTAACGGATTTATTTGATAATGTTTGTTTCCAGATTCCGCCCTTAACATATTCATGACACTTGATGGGCTTGGAATGAAATATCCACAAAGTGTCTACAACCAAACTCGTGAAAAATAATGTTCGAAAGGCAAAGTTATTGACCCCATCCGCGCATTTCTTATCAACCGTCTATTTTTCTCCAGATGCATCGAAATCAAACACGGTGCAGTTGTCCGATTTAATCGTGAAAAGTGGGCCTTGCCTCATGGCCGACCATGAACCCCAGTGCAACAGGTTCATGACTTGTTCTAAGACCGCCTAACCTCGCGGCAGACGAACCGCCAGTTGAAAATCCCCAGCACTAATATTGCGAAAACTACAATCATGCTGTACTCACTTCTAGTAGGTAAAGATGTTCTTGGGGGTGGAGGACCTCTTGATCTTCTGAGAGCAGCTTGGAGTTTCGTAAGAAGTGACTGAAGTTGAATGATGATAACTTCCACTTCATTCTCATCTTCGGGCATGACGAAGGGCACTGCCATTGTCTCGACGATGGTTGAACACAAGATTACTTCAAACACAAATTCACTGACAACTCGCGACCACGCGTTGATATAGTTAGGCACACGTCCACACGCTGGGAGAGATCGACGGCGTTTGACGGAGCGACTGCCAGGCAGAGAGTCTACTAGCTACTAAAACGTTAGCTTCGCTTGGCTTCCCCCTGCTTTCCCAGACGCTCCCTCAGACGATTTCGGTTGCTAAGTAAAGTTGACATAAGGGTGAAATGCTACTCGTAGTGGTTATCCAATAGGAGACTCCGATGGGCGTGTCTACCAAAAACAGAGCAAAATATTGGACAATTATATTTAGAAATACGTACCTTTGTTATTAGCTTAGACCCCAGATTGATAGATCACGGCACTGGGTCGAACTGGTTCAGTTAATTTCCACTTTCCTTTATGTAGTTCACTTCCAATTTTGTTGTTTCTTGCTTGTTCACTGATTGCGAGAAAACATTTTACCCAAATCTTTGCTTATCTTGCGTCTCCTCGGTTTCGGTTGAATGTGTGAAATTTTGTTGAGAGCGATGAGTGATAGAACCAGTTTTGTACTCGGAAAATTAATTTCAAGGTTAGACTTACTCCAGGAGATTTGATATTACGTAATATAGGTATTTATACCTATTCAATTATTCCATATTTTTTCCATATTGTCTGTGTTTCGTAGTGTTAAAAATGTTTTTGACAATAATGAAGTTGTAGACATGAATAGTAACTTGAAATCATAACATACATAGCCAATTTGAATTCCCAATTTTTATATAAACAGTGGGAATTTCATCTGCTTCACTCAAAGAAAGCAATCAAGTGGCCATCAAAATTTTTATATAGATATCTAGATAGGTGGTGGATTTTTTGAAGTTTCTGAAGCGGATATATCTGTCAAAAAAGTAGTTTTTCCCATCATTTTTTATAACAACTCATTATGTTTGTTCTGTTCGTTAAAGAAAAGTTTGGATTACACTTCAATCAGAATTCATAACATATTGAAAAAGCCTTGTGTGAGAAATACTTACAAGTAATATTTCTTCAAGACTGATGATTGTTTATTTTAATTTTCGAATAATTTTCTATGAGTTTTTCAGGAGTTTTAAATAATCTGAAATACAATTTAAAATCTGCTTATGCCAAGATGAACAAAAAGATATTTAGATGACATCAATTCGTGTATGAAAAATGGTAGAACAGTTTTGTGCTGGCACACAATATTAAGTTATTTTCTTATTAGTCAGTGGGCTATGCTTGAATATTGGCAGTAAACAAATCTAAAGCAAATGAAACTTCAAACTTTAGATTTGTTTACTGCCAGTCTTCAAGCATAGCCCACTGACTAATAATAAAGTTTTTTTCCTTATTCAGAGGAATCGGGCAAATTACGGTTATGCAGTTGGTTAGTACCTCGTCCACTAGATGGAGTGACATTTTGTGATGTTCGCTCCAACTTCGGAAGAGGAATGAAATACTCTGAAAGAATTCCGATTTTCAATTGTGGAATGTCATTGACTTTAGGTCGATGATGGTCACTATCTTGCACAGATGAGTGGCTAATAAGCCCGAAACCGGTCTGCAAGTGTGCCCGTTCCATAATTGAAGGTCGATTCTTTCAGTTGTATTGTCAATTGCATATGCAGAAAATTTTCTGTGAAGATTCCTGCACTGACGCCTGTCGGATATAATCCAACGCCCTTCGTGGTATTAGCCAGGGGAGTAGTTGTTTTCTGATAGGCGTCAGTCCATTAAACCTACTGTGTAGGTATATAGAGACTGGCTTGAACGTTTGAAGTTTCATTTGCTTTAGATTTATTAAGTTATTTCACAGTTGAACCCAAACAATGGAGATATTCATCAATTCAGTAAAGGGGATGTTCAAAACTATCAATTTCAATATAGATAAGTACATATCTATGTGAAGACGACACATAACGAAAATGCGACCTTGACCTTCAAAGTGATTCCACATACAACAAAAACACATGTTTTTATCACGTGTATCGCATCGTTTTGTGAAGCAAAAAACTGTTATTTATAGAGAACCATCAATTCTTGATGTATATTATCTGAATTATTCAAATATTTCTGTCTATAATAGTACAATTTTATGTAGATACAGATTTCAATGATTTTATTCCAGCGCAATTCCAGACACTTACGGGAATTGGGTCACATGAAAATCAAGTAAATGTAGATATTCCCAATGTTTGATAAAATATAAATCCCAGTAACAGTGACTCACATTCTCACATTAGGTACTAGAAAAAAAATAATATCAAACTGAACGAGCTCAAACACTTAAAAATAGCAGGATCCCCTGCTATTTTTAACACTTAACACTTAAAAATAGCAGGATCCCCTGCTATTTTTAACACTTAACACTTAAAAATAGCAGGATCCCCTGCTATTTTTAAGTGTTAACTAGAAGAACTCCAAGTCAGAAAATGCTTTCAAACTATTGAGTAATTTGAATCTTCTCTGTTTTGATATGATATCGATGTATCTCACAATTTATGTTAATCCTTATTGTAATACTTTCGCATTGTTCAGTTTTGTCTTGTTGTCGTTTTGTTTGTCAACGAAACCTTAAATTGTTCTTGTAGGACAGCTGAAATTGTAACAAACATTGACATGCCCTATTTATTGTTATCGATAATTGAAAAGATCAATAAACATTTTATTTTATTTATTTATTCTGAATATTCGCTTAAAGGCGTATACATAATTGAGTCTGTTGAAAAAAAAATGTATAGTATTCATTTGAAAATTTCAATATTGAGGGCTTTGTTTCCTTTTCAAATATCAGACTTCCATCAATGAAGTTAGAAAATGAAAGACATTTTCCATTTCTTGACGTTTTGATAATGAGGAGTGAATGTGGAAAGCTAGAATACGATGTATTTATGAAGGAGGAAACAAGCACTTACAGGTATATTCCTGACAGTTCACATCACAGTGGACAGCACAAACATGCTGGGTTGAATTTTCTGGTACATCGTCTTTTTACGTTTCTTCACACACATGAGAGGTTCACAAAAAAAGTGATAATAGAGAAAATAGCAGTCAATAAAGGTTTCTTGAGGGGTATTGTAGATGATATTATAAGGAAGAAAAAGTTTAGGTTAAGAATGAACGAAATCTCGACTTTCAGAAACGACGACAACCAAGATAACTATATGTAGTTATATGAGATATATCTCAGTTCCATACCACCAATACACGAAGAACTTTGGAAAGATTTTCAAAGAACTAGGTATTGAGGTGGCATTTAAAACAAGTCATACACTACATAACCTTTTTAGAAAATTCAAAGGACAAAATCGAGAATTCGAAAAAGTCTGAAATTCACGAAATCGAATGTATCATACCATTGACCAACCATTGACATATAGTAATGCGTTGGGGAAAGTCTCGTGGCAAAAGAGCTTGTACCCTTTGAATATGGTATGGATAAAACTGTCGATCATGGATAATTCTCCAAACTGTGGACTGAGTAGAATTGACAGCTTCAGCAATTACTCTTGTGCTTGTTTCTGGATTCTCCTTGAGAGCGTTCAAAACAGTTTCTTCCAATTCTGGGGTTCGGACTGCTCGTGGTATTCCAATAATATCAGCTGCCCTCTTAAAGGTACAAATGTTGGAGCTGAAGGCAGTACTCGATTAGGAAATCGCTCTTGGTAAATACGTCTTGCTTCGCGCGCATTGCCATCCGCAAGGCCATAAACGAAATGTATATCGGCTAAATGAGCATTATTCTCTGTGTTTCAATATTCAAATGCATCCGAATCTTATTCACTGGTATCTCTTTTTCGCATTGTTCACCATCGCTATTGGAATCACTACACAGGAAAAAGTCTGCGTTTTTATCACACTCGTTGTTACTATTACTACTTGTCCAAAGACGCCACATTTCAAACAAATAACAAAAATTTTAAGTAATTATAACTTCACCCATATCGAATTTCAACACTCAAATCGCGATCAGTTCCTGAACATTGACTATACAACGGAGGTACTCATCGCTACATTCTATTGGTCACCGTAACATGACTTCAAATTTAATTTCATGACTCTTCAGCCAATCATAAAACTGGGTAAGTAAAAATTATCCAATACGAACCGCCATTTCTTTAGTCCACGTGGACTAATTCGTAGCGGCATTATTTCTTTGTATTGTTTTTTTGGCCTTTGAGTTCGCCGATAGCTTTAAGAATTACTATATCAGTTACGTTGACTATACCCAATTATTACCATGTAAATTTCTTGAAGTAAATAGCTAACGATATCAATTGTATGTAATTGTATGTTATTATTTTCAACTATTTACTACAGGAGAATGTGTTTGACCAGTTAATTAAAAATACTTTAGTAAATAGTTATCTAGATACTGTAGTAAATAGAACTAATGGCGTATGCTACTAAGTTTTGTATATAAAATAGGAGGGACCTGGTAAAGTATCATAAATCCGCCTACAAAAGCTGTGGCAAATCATAGTCAAATGACAACACTTTGTTTGAGCACTCTTAGTGTTTTGCACATGTAATGAGCTTTCATTACTTTTTACTATTGGGAAACAAAGCTTACGGATCATTTTCTCAGTGTACGATTGAACCTGACCACAATGAAAATTAATATCGACACCCGTTTTTCTCGAATCCAATCTGCTGTGGAAATCTTGTCACTTCAAATAAACCGAGCAAAGATAGGGGTGCACCGTTGCAATATCACACAATAGGAGTAAGTAGGAATGAAAAAATGCAATTACATCTTTTTCACTCAGCTGTGTCATTTCGAATTAGCGATACAAGCTTCATTCTGAGGGTCGACGGGAAACTTTAACTACATCATAAAATATCTTGAAAATATTTCTTGGTAGGGGTTAAATCAATTCAAAGTGTTGGTTAGGGGTGACAATGTGCCATTGTTAGCCGTCGGAAAAAGGCAGGGCTGTCAGTCGGGAATTTTCATGACGACATAATGTCGCAGATATTTGAAAGTTGAAAAGAGCTACAGTATCTTTATGTGGTCATTTGAAATAACGAGTACTTTGGAAGAGTGGCAGTCTGTAATTGAATTCATCCGATCACTGCCCTTATTGGATTTGTGGGTCCGTACCCAAACAGCCTGGAATACATGTGTTTAGTTGATTTTATCAGTCTGAGTAGTAAGAGTGAATAGTAAGAGATATTTCTCGATGTAGTTTTGCGGAATCGATGTTCTTTGACTAAACACCTGGGCTGAGAAATCCCGAGTCTAAGAACGAAAACGCGTTGTTTTTTGTTCAAAATTTGCTTTATTTATCAACGTGATCTCCATCGATGGTCACGCAATCATTTCAGCGCCACTATAACATTTCAATATCACTTTTGTAGAACTATTTATCTTTTGCCTCAAAATAGGTCTCAGTTTCAGCAATTTAAGTGAAATTTCCCACTGGTGAGTATTTTTTGCGGTCTGCAAACAGCAAATAGTCGCTGGGAGCCAAATCTGGCAAATATGATGGGTGTGGGAGTAATTCGAAGCTCCATAGTATCAATAGTTTTTTATTATCGAAAATAAAACTTAAACATAATCGTATTCAATACTTATATGTTCTCAATTACTATGACTACAACAAGTTTGTTATTTTATCATTCTCCTTGATTAGGAAACTATCCCATAGGTCTTTAGCTCCTATTTTATCACCAAAACGAGGTTTATTTGTCTTCGCGTAGCTGGTTATGAATTCGGTGAATAATTGTACCATTTTTTCGTCTTCAGCTTCAAGTCTCTTTGGGGTGCCGAACATTTTGAAGAGTAGTCTTCCGTCGTCACAATGGCTCACTCCTTTCCTGAATCCTGGAACTATGAATGGTTGTTGCAAAACGTAGGTGAAGAAATAATAATAAACCGAAGAGTTGGACACGTTTGCGTGAAGTCTGGCCGCTTTCTCTCCATCTATGAAGAAATGCCGGTCACTGAACATCCGGACTATAGCGTACTCGTTATCTTCTGAAACTGGTTCATCGTCCAAGTAAAGTTTTCGTACTTTCGTGACTACGTCTTTTTTGAGTTCCCCATCAACTGTGTCTTGGATATCCAACATGAAAGGCAATAATTCGTCCCATCTTGAATCCATCTCGGCTAACTTGTCCGTCGCCACAAAAAACGCTGTTGGGTAAATCCCTTCATCCCTGACGTTCGACGTCACCCAAGGATCATTGGTAGTCTTGCCTTCTTTCAATAACTTGTACGGATGATGTGCTAAAAATCCTCCTTCTTCCGGACCCTTTTCTATTACTGGACCGAAGGGGGTGATGGGCATTGCTTCCACAAACACCAACACTTGTTTCATTGCTTCCATCAGTTCTTTTCCGTCCACATTTCGAAGACAATCGACCATGCTTCTGGTGGAGTTTATTGGGCACTGGAGATGTTTTCCGACCACTTCAGCCTTCTTTAGGGGGTATTCCTTCAGGCCGTACGGTACGAGGGAGGTCCTGCTCTGCGAGAAGCCCCTGTGGAATAGATCCTTTGATAGCGGAGACAGATAATGGAGATGAACACTTGCCCCTCCCGCAGAAAGTCCTGTAATCGTTACGGATTCTGGATTTCCGCCGAAGTACTTGATGTTATCTCTGATGTCACTAGTAACTAACATAGAAATAGGAGAATGTCACCAGAAAAAGCATTCGTTTTTAAATCAAGTTTTTTGTAAGAAAAATGTTGATTGTTGAATTGAAAAGTGTCAATTAAGGGGGGATAAGGTGTGAAGCTGACCTAGTGAATAAATTCTTGTGTTTTTAAATAGTTTATATTGTGAAAAACAAGGCTGAAAAGTTGCCCTTTTCTGAATTTTGAGAACCGTAACTTTGTAAATAAGGGAGAGCGCCGCTTTTTCCTTCCGGATTCGTAATATATGCATCAAAATAAGTAAGTACACCCAAAAATTTTTTGAAAATCGTCGGGTGCCCTTAAAACGACTATTTACCAAGGATTCGAAGCTTTATAACTTCTATTTATTATATGCGAGCGCTTTCGACAGCAGGTCGTGC